TCATGTTGTATGTTGTGGAAATCTGTAAGCTATTTCCACAAGCAACGGTAGCAGGTGGTTTAGTTGCAGTTGTATCGACTTACCAGTTCTAACTGACCCACTGTCGGTTAGCACTCGAAACCAGTACGAGGTTAATTGGTAATTCAAGCGGAGTAACGGATCTACGAGCCTCGCTTCAATGGACAAGTGTGAAACATTTTTAGTTTGATTTACTTATTGCTACGATAAACAGTTTGCAGTTTTCTTTAGTGCGAAACAATAATGGAACCTTAGTGTTATTATGGACTCTTATAAAAGAATACAAGGCAGTCATATTCGACCAAGATTGTGAGGCTATAGGAGACCAAAACGGAAATTTACCGTTAGTGTAGTATTTTTTTTGCAATGTAAGGTTTAGCCCATTTATTTTGATAGAAATGTTCGTTATTATACTGTAAACTTTGGCAATTTTAACCATGTTTATGAGTTATGTGTTAACAAATGCAACGTAGGTTTCAGAATAATTCTGTAGGATTTAACATGGGCTGTACCGTGGGTGTTGTGGTATTTAGTATTTATGGATCGATTCTCAACCTGTTGTACATTTAAATTGTGTACGGTAAATGTTGCGTAAATTGACTTCCTAGTATTGCAAAGATTTTATAACTTTGCTGTATACACTATACTACTATTATATATGACTGGCTTTCGCCCGCGACTCTGTCCGCGTGGTATTAAAAAACAAAACCAAGTAGCCTACGTGTTCTTCCAGACTATCCTCTACATGTATGCCAAATTTCATTGAGATCCGTTCAACAGTTTAGGCTACAAACTCTAACAAACATCCATCCATCTAAACTTTCAAATTTATGATATTTATATGAAGTATGATTAGTATATGTTTAATATTGGTAAACTAATACTAGTCATATTTTACTCTAAAATTATTTTCGAGGATTTGTTGAAATTCCTACAGTCCTTAAAACCCGTCTCGACGTGAATGAACCGACAAACGCTAAATTCTGTTACTATTTATAACCGAATTGGGCCACACCGAAATTAAAGCTGAGCGAATTCTCAGCGTGTGGGGCATATCTATAGACAAACAGCATCACACGTTAGTTTTTGCATGACAGTTTTGTTCTTACATGCGTAAATGGCAAACTTTAACGTATGTGACAAAAAGTTTTGAAACTCGATTATGCCTGTTGGATTATAAGGTATAACCAAAGAACCTAACGTGTGTGGCCTGCATTATACACATCTTTGCGATGTTATTTAATGTGGGTACATTGTGTTTAGAATATTTGAGACACACACACTGGAGTAAACTATATCCTGTGTCAGATGATACACAAGATTGTGTGTTATTTTGTTGTATTTTCTAAATTAATATTAAATGATCAAAAACCCTGTGTTAAAAAAAACATACAGACGAATTTAGTACCTCCTTCTTTTGCGAAGTCGGTCAACAAAGTGTCTTTTTTAAAACGATAGCGTTAATATTACAGGTAGATTTTTCTAATTAGGTATTACAAATCGTAATTTTCACATGTCACTTGTTATTCGCCTATTATTTCATAGACAGTAATTTAGTGGTTATCCAAAAACTAGGTCGCAAAGGCTCGTCCGTTTGCAGGAGTAATTTTTATATTTGTGACAATATACGAGCGCCGGCCCACAGGTCAATGGTCTGTATCTAGACTTTATACAAGTATTAAACTGTATAAAGCTAGGTTTACATGGTGGTTTAACTAATGTTTTATCCATTTTTTAACTATAGTGAATCAAGGCAGCTAAAATGGGGATGTTTTCGTCCTTTAAACTAATATTCATTGATATAGTAAATTTATAAATTAAAATAACGATTTTAATTTTGCAATCTGAAGGTTGAAAACCTAGTGCATTGACATAGTGTGTGACAAGGACAGAGATATGTGCATTCAGAAACGACGTTTTAGTTTCTCGAATTTTCTCTTTAGACCTTTCCATTATTGCATTACAAGTAATGAAAAAAAACAAAAAAGTTTTGAACGATATTGGATGCCATATCGATTGTTAAAGAAAACGTGAAAGTACACCCGGAGGCAGAACGAAATTAAAACTGATTTATTTAAATACGCTCACTTTTACACGACACTTTCATATCTTTTATACTTTGTACTGAATGAAAACTTATTTGATTTTTTTTTCTTCCACAGATGTTTAATAGTCAATTAAAATAATATTGCGTATATTGGATTGCTTCAAAATGTTACCAATTTCTTATTATTTAGGTAACAATGTCTCCAAAACGTTATTATTTTCTCTTCCTTTGAAAATATCTCTATTCTACTACATATATCGAATCAGAATACTATTCTAAATAAAAGGGTCGATAAAATTTAACTCTTTGGGTCTCAAGTAACAATTTTATTTATACTAGACGAGCTGTTACCCGCGACTTCGTCCGCGTGGTATTCGAAAACATACAAACTATATAAATTACAAAAAGCTACGTTTCCCTCGGGAACCGGACATTTCTCGGGGATGAAGCTTATCCCATGTGTACTCCAGACTTTGTTTTATATCTATGCCAAATTTCAATAAGATATGTTGAACCGTTGCAGAATGATCGAGTAAACATTAAAAAACTAAATTAACGAATCCCACGGGAACCGTAACTATTCCCGGGATAAAAAGTAGCCTATGTGTTCTTCCAGACTATACTCTAAACCTGAGCCAAATTTCATGGAGATCCGTTCAGCCGTTTAGGCTACAAACGCTAACAAACATGCATCCCTCCATCCATCCATCTATCCATCCATCCATCCATCTAAACTTTCGCATTTATAATATTAGTAAGATTAGTAAGATTATATTATACTAGCTGTTGTCAGACTTCGCCTGCGTGGAATTAAAAAAAATAGCCTATGTTACTCAAAGATAAATTACCTTTCTTGCGGTGAAAGAATTTTTGAAATCGGCCCAGTAGTTTTTACGTGAATTAAATACATACAAAAATACAAATCTTTCCTCTTTATAATATTAGTATAGAGTAAATAATTGCCTTTTCTGAAAGCTGGATTATGTGTGTAGGTTAATAAACTCTGGAATCATGTAAACCCAGCAGTTTACCATTTGGCACATATACGGTTCTATGATGAGGAAACCTGTTACGCTTTTAATAGAACGATGGTACTAATTAGTGATGTACGTATAGCTAGTCGATAACTCGACTTATTTATGTTTCCACTTGAATATCAAATAGTTCCCTATTCGGATACTTGTTTATTCGCATGTTTTATACGCCTTTAAAGGTATAAGGGAAAAAATAGACATGCCATATACTCACAAAACATTTTGTTATGTAGTTATGAACGTATTATGTTATGTCTATATGTAGTCGCATTTATGTGATGTCATATAAGTTGAAAGTAAAATTACTTGGTAAACATGCCAGGTGTGTTATTGTTTGCTATCATAGTAGACTAGCTGTACCCGTTGTCAAATTCTCAAATTCAAATGTCAAAATACCTTACAATGGCAATTTTGCTTTCTTGATATTGGCAGCAACTTATGGTCTCTTTCCCACATTAGGGTTTTTATCTAAAATATTTACCCCCTAAGTTTAATGGCATGAAAAATATAACCTAAAGCATGACATAAGTGTAGGGCTTTTTATTAAATTAAGTATTATTCAAAAATACGCTGTAATTGCTGACGTCTTAGACAACAAACAAGTGTGTGTTTACGCTTTATTATAATAGTATAGATTAATTAAAATGTCGACACTTTAATAATCAATAAAAAAAGAATTATTTTATCGATATTCTTATTTTAATTAGACATCACTAGCGTTAAATTCGTCTGTGGTCCCGCACGCGTCGCCAATTGTCTACAATTCAGTCGTCTGCCATGTTTTAATGTGTTAATTTTTTATGTGACATTTGGATGGGGGTTGTTTGTGAATGAAGATCCTTTATTCGTGCATCTGTTCAAATTTTAATATTTCTTACTAACAATCAATTTTATTTAGAAAATCGGATTACATTTAAAAGTTTAAAAAGTCTTCCACACAAAAATATCTATAGAAGGGTACCTTGACCCTTCGTCAAGTGTTTTGGCAATGGAAATAATTTCATAATGCTAAGCAAGTTGGTAAACGATCGCAGTTTATAAGCGTATGCATTTTTCCTATGAATCACATGCGGTGACTAATTTCCTGTTAATACAGTGCACACAGCATGTGTATATCCGCTTTTAATTAAATGTAATAATTATTTATTATTTTATATAGTCCTTACGAAACAAACCCTTATTAGCATTTTTTATATTATATAAGGTGGCAAACGAGAAAGTACCGAAATGGAAAGCGACCGCTGCCTATAAACATCCACAATTGCAGATGCGTTGCCTAACCTTGATTGACGGAGAAGACGCACATAAAGAAGACATTTCCCATTCCTGTGCGACCGTCAAATCCACTTTTCCTTCCCATCGTCTCTTAAAAAAAGGACTAAAATTAGGCTTCCGACCTTTCACGGCTTACACTTCACGTCTGTTTTCTGTGTGGTCGTGGTATTACACCGGGCAAGCCGGCCCATTCGTGCGAAGATGTTAAAGCGAGCACTACCACTGTTTTACTGGGCTATTGGAAAATAATCTTATTTCTTACTGATGTTATAAATGAGAAAGTTAAGATCGATGTTTGATAGAGTTTGTAACCTAAACTTAACAGATCTCGATGAAATTTCGTAGAAATGTAGAACATAGTCTGGAACAACTCAAAGGAAATTTTTTATTTAATTCCACGCGAACGGTGTCGCCGGCTAAAGCTAGTATTGAAATAAAACCAACGCAGATTGAAAACTTCGTATTGTTTTAATCAAGGTGTGCTAAATTAGACACAGATAAAGTTAATATGGAGAAATTCGTAATTCTTTTAAATAAATATAATTTTCAATTACGAATTAGTAGTTAGACTAAAATGACCTATCGTTTTATATATAAAAGCTAATTTATTTTTTATCTTGTTCCAGAAAATCCAGCATCAGAGTTCAGACGGTATAGACTGGTGAGACCTGCAGTGCATCATGGACGGTCCAAAAGAGAGATTACAACTACAAGAGATGATGTAAGTTAAAAATGCCACTTCGGAAACCAACATTAAATACTAAATGACAATCATCATAAAAACCACGCGTAATTTATACTAATATTATTCTATACAAATATAATAAAGAAAATTGATTTGTACTTTTGTATGTATTGAAATAACTTAAAAATTACTGGGCCGAATTAAAAAATTCTTTCGCCGTTAAAAAGCGTTATCAGTGAGTAACATAGGCTATGTTTTTTTATTATTGTTTTAATATTAAACATTTTTAATTAAGTGGTTCGATTTGTAATAACTATTATTTAAAAAGTTACGTGACCTTTGTTACTAAATAACGTTTTACGGTAATGTACGGCCGCAGTAATAAACCTATCAATTTACTGGGCCATGCAAACTGGGTTATGTATAAGCCTCTATACAGTAACCACACTAACTTGATAATTTAGGACATTTTTCCAATAAAAAGTAAAGATGTCTATTTAAATAGTTTAGCGTATTACAAAATATGTGTTCTATGGATCCAAAAGGTACAATATGTGAACACTTCTCCAAGATCTGGCCAATATTTTAGGAGTTTATTGCTTGTCCTTTATTTGGCTACATCACAGTCATCCTACATCTATGACAGCTATACTGACGCCTTTCAAAACAAACGGCCTTGATGGCGGGCATTTAGATCTATTAGTACACAAAGTTCTTAATTGCGTGCAAATGTTTACCACGTGTGTGTTTTTCAATTAGAAATATCGCGTCACTGATTCGCGAATTTGACCTTTGAATGTTGATTAGTTATGATTTTGCGAATGATGTTTTGCTTATTTAAATACTTTGATTGTGTAATATATTGCAAAACATCAAAACAGGTTTTTAATTGGAATTCTAAGTTACTATGCTAAGAATTGCTGACAATGTTTAAATTATCTTCACACCAGTAAAAAGGATTTAAATATTTTATAACAATATTAAATATGTATGGATTGTGTGAAAGAGGATATGCTTAAGAAAGGAGTGGATTCAGATATGACGGCTGATAGAGATGTATGGAGCAGCACATACTGTGCCGACCCTCCATAAAGGATAAGGGCAAGTGGATGATGTTTAAATATGCCTATGTTAATCAAAGAAAATGTAGCATGATAATGTTGAAAGAATTTTTGAAATCATACTGGTCAGTTTTGCTTTTATTTTGTAACAATAAGCACAGAACATGTTTCTTCACAATAGCATATACTAGTTATACCTCTGACTGTACATGGATGTATTGACTTTCCTTTAAGATGACTTACAACTTTATGTGCTTCATCTTAGTATCTCATTTTTAAATTTTATACCGACTCCGTAGTTAAGACTTAATAATAGTCTGTAGCTTTGTTATTCATCACGTAACATCCTTCAACGGACGTCCACATCCGACCTCCTCCGTTAACGGATGACCTCAATCCATTTAGCCTCCATCTCCTTAGTATGTGTTTCCCATTCTACGAGTATTGTGATCTGTATCAAAATGATTGATAGATCTTTAAGAGTGAGGTGTGGTTTGTGTTCCTCCCCTGTCTGTCATATGTCGCAGCCATTAAGGTTTACTGTATAATTGTTTGTATTAGTTATTTGTACAATATTGTCATCATCTCCGTGTCCTTGTCTTACTCATGTAGGGTCTATATTCGACATTTCAGTCGTTACTACTCTCTTAATTATGTCACTTTTAATCCGTCTCTTTCTAACATAGCCCTAGAACCTCTTATTGACAATTTAATTGAATAAAAGCAAGTTCATACTTAAGACTTTACTAATATTATAAATGCGAAAGTTTAGATGGATGGATGTATGTTAGAGTTTGTAAGCAGCTAAACAGCTGAAGGGATCTCGATAAAATTTTGCATAGATGTAGAGGATAGTCTGGAAGAACACATAGGATATTAACTTTTGTCGTTTTTAATTCGGCGCGGACGAAGTCGCGGGCAAAAGCTAGTATAGACAATTACAAACTGACGCGATCCTCGTTGTAATTGTTTTAAAATATTTTTTATTCTAATTTCAGTCAGGAGTACACCATCCCGAGGTGACGGTTAAGTTGGATGTTGACGGCGAGGAGCACTTGCTGGACTTGAGACTGAACGAGGATCTGGTCACTGACAACCATGTGTTCAGTTACCAGAAGAATGGAGAGACCGTTTTACATAAGCCTAAGAAAGAGGTAAAGATATATACTTATTTTCTGGTATAAAAGACGTAACAGAATTAAATAAATTTAAACATACTTCTCAGGGGTTTAAACACTTGACTTGTAATTTAGAGGTCTTGGGATCGAATCCCACCATGTACTAATGTGATTATTGATTTTTCATATATACGTAATTTACCCGACCTTCTTACGGTGAAGGAAAACATCGTGATGCACATATCGGCGATGAAATTCAAATATATGTGTGAAGTCCATTGACCTGCAATGGGTCAGTGTGTTTGACTATGGCCTAGTCACCCCTTATTAGGGTAGGCTTCGAGCCTTTCAGTGGGGAAGTACAGTGTGCTGGTGATGATAAAATATATTATCTTATGCAGGAGTTGGATCTATGTCAGTATTCTGGCAAAGTCCGAGGGAAGGATAACTCGTGGGTGGCGGTTTCCACCTGCCGTGGAGTGCGGGGGATTGTGTACGATGGTACAGAAATGCGGTATATTGAACCAGCTGAAGGTAAAACTTTTTGAGATTAATTACGTGTTAAACGTGGTCACTTTTAAATATTGTCTATAACTGGCTTACTTAGTATATAAATATACAAAAATCTATAAATATAAAGAGAAAAGATTTGTTTTTTTTTATGTATTAAATAACTCAAAAACTGTTGGGTCGATTTCAAAAATTATTTCACCAATAAATAGCTACGTTATCGAGTAACATATGTCATATACTATATTTATTACAAAATTTATCTCTGCGCGGACGACGACGCGGCGACAGCTAGTGTTAAATACGAAGGTCACTTTGTCAATAAAGTATGACGTCATAACACAGTCTGTTAACTTTCCAGGTGGTGAGTTCAATTCTCGGCATTACATTTACGACCACTCGGATTTGCAAGCGATCCATCGCTGCGGATACGACGGAGGTGTGACCAACAACACGGAGTACGACCCGCAACTGATGGACAAGCATAATAAAAAACGCAGCATCGAACAGAGTCGAATCAATAGGGTAAATACTCTTGTTTATTCGTTGAATCTTGGAAGAAAATATTGGAAGTGTTTTATTTAATTTTTAAAGATTTTTGTCTGATAGAACCAGAGATTAAAAAAAATGTATAGACTAGGCATATTTAACACTTCACTCGGAATATTTTTCACATAATTTTAAATGTTCATATTTTGTTTTTTTATAAAAGATGAAGCTTATCACAATTTTGAAAAATGTTTTTGCAAGGACAGGAGATGCCACTAAGCTTGACAACTGATATAGTACCTTTCAGAGAAAGTACCGTTGAAAAAAAAATTGGTTACAATGCCTAGTCTATTTTTTTATTATTATCTTTTTATAGAACTGACAGAAACAAATGAATGCAAGATATATTTTTTTTATTGAAGTAACCACAATATTGTAACTCAGTTTCTGAATCTTTGAAAATTTGAAAATTACATTATTCGCAGCAACTTTTTTGTACACTGTACAGTCAAGGGCGTTCATATTATTTATTTTTTTGGTTTTAATTCTTTTTATTTTATTTTTAGTATAAACGTGAGAGTTACGATGACACGGAGGTACGAGGTCCTTTCAACGCTAACAAGCAATCCAGATACGTAGAGTTAGTGCTGGTCGCTGATAACAGAGAGTACAAAGCTAATGGAGAAAATATGCAGACCGTACACAGACAGTTGAAGGATGTCGCTAACATAATTAATTCTGTAAGTAATTTAACTTTTACAAAGATGCTAAGTTAATCTTAATATAGATTTATATGAAGGCTACCTTAGTATATTTCAACTTAGTATGGGAAATAAACACTAACGAAGTGTTGGATTAAATTTTTTTGCCATACGAAATATTGTGTCGATGTTTGTGAAAAAAGGGCAACATTCAATTATTAAGTACGAGCTGTTGCCCGCGACTTCATCCGCGTGGTATTATAAAACATACAAACTATATAAATTACAAAAAGTTACGTATCCCTCGGGAACCGGACATTTCTCTGGGATGAAGCTTATCTCATGTGTACTCCAGACTTTGTTTTATATCTGTGCCAAATTTCAATAAGATATGTTGAACCGTTGCAGAATGATCGAGTGAACATTAAAAAACTAAATTAATGAATCCCACGGGAACCGTAACTATTCCCGGGATAAAAAGTCGCCTATGTATTCTTCCAGACTATGCTCTAAACCTGTGCCAATTTCATAGAGAGCCGTTCAGCCGTTTGGGCTACAAACGCTAACAAACATCCATCCATCCATCTAAACTTTCGCATTTATAATATTAGTTAATATTAGTAAGATTAGGAAGATAGTGTTTCCTGTTACATAATCTATGGTATCTGTTGCGTGTCAAAATGTAAATTAATAAGGTTCCTTTATAAAAAACAAGTAAAAGTTTAAAATATATACAAGAAACAATCTGTTGCAATTCCCTTCTACGAACAATGTTCCATTTTTTAATCGCCTTTGCTGACGACTCTGAAATAATAATAATACTATCTTACTAATATAAATGAGAAAGCTTGATGGTTGTCTGTTAGAGTTTGTAGTCTAAACTGCTGAACGGATTTCGTAGAAATTTGGCATAAATGTAGAAGATGTGAAGGTCTGGAAGAAGACATAGGCAACACGTTTGTTTTTAATTATACGCGGACGGAGCCACAGACGAAAGCTAGCATAGATATATTGTCAAAAAACAAAAGAGTTGTCTTTATTTAGAGGATATTCGTATTATTTTGTTGCAAAATATTTTTTTCAAGTCCGTATTCTTTTTATACTTAATAGACAAACACAACATAAACGTAACACTTAATTTTGGGTAATAAATTAGTATAGAAACCCGTCAATTTATTTGTTTTTAGGTGTATGCCCCATTAAACATCTTCATAGCGCTTGTAGGCGTAGTGGTGTGGAATGAAAGAGACGAAATACAATTAGAAGAGAACGGAGATAGGACTTTGACTAATTTTCTTGTATACAGGAGGATGAGACTCTTATCACAAATACCTAATGATAATGCACACTTATTGACGTGAGTATAAGGTTCATTGTCGTCTAGCTATTAAGAAAAATCGTGTAACTAATTATTTTACGGCTCTTATACACGTCTACTTTTCACGCGTCGTGACCGCGACACGACACAATTACACTCGCCCTGAAGAAGGACCCCCGCAGGGTCTGAAACTTGTCGGTGTCGTCACCGAAAAAAGTAGACGTGAGTAACAGCCGTAAAAAAATTAGTTATAAAAATTAGTAAAAATAGTGTAGATTTAAATTATCGTTTCGTTTTTCAAATCTAATTAGCAAAAACTATCGAAGCATTTATTAACAAGCTGCTTCTGAGTAATCTTGACAACCTTGCTTCGTTGCTGCTATTGGCTTGTATATTCTCACGCTATTAAACTTAGGGAGTAAATAAAATGGATAAAGCCGTCATGAGCGAAAAGGACAAAATTTGTTTGTTCCTTTCCTTTTCAAACTTTGCTTTAAAGTAAAGTTTTTACAGTTTTATGTGGATGGAACCCCACGGGAACAGCTAGTATTAGTATAAATGTGCTTGTAATTAACCAGGAAAATTCACTAGAAAAAACAGGTTTGAACGTGATTTTTATTATTCGATGATTAAAAATTAATATAATTCCACCAATATCTGTTTTTGGATTTATTTTAACGATTTGATTGTACATAACCTACTTACAAAATAATGTTTTCATTCCAGTCGTCAAAAATTCCAAGAGGGTGTTGTAGGGAAGGCCCTAAAAGGTCCAATATGTACATTCGAGTTCTCTGGCGGTGTGGCGACCAATCACTCAGAAGTTATAGGGTTGGTCGCCACTACGATAGCCCACGAGATGGGGCATAACTTCGGCATGGAACACGACACGGAAGAGGACTGCGAGTGTCCCGACGAGAAGTGTATAATGAGTCCTTCTAGTACTTCAGTGATGCCGATACACTGGTCTTCTTGCAGTTTGAGGTCTTTAGCGCTGTCTTTTGAACGTGGAATGGATTATTGTCTAAGGTATGTTGTTCCTTTTATCTCTTTATAAGTTACAATCTATCTATATTAATATAATAAAGTGTAAACACACACTAGTTACGTAGGATGTCACCATTCACTGTATATTTTTGAATAATTGTTTTTATTGAAGAGCCCTTCTCTTACGACACGCAATAGACTATATATATTCACGTTATTAAACGTAGGAATTAACTAATTTGGAAATAACCATTATGCGGGAAAGGGATAAAAACTACAAGCTCATCATCAACTTGCCCTTATCCCTTACGGAGGGTCGGCACAGTATGTGCTGCTCTTCCATACATCTCTATCAGCCGTCATATCTGAATCCACTCCTTTCTTAAGCATATCCTCTTTCATTCAATCCATACATACTTTCTTCGGTCTTCCTTTTCCTTTGTAGCCATCCACATTCATTCTTAACACTTCCTGGTTTACATCCCCACCGTCTCGCAAATACTACAAGCTCACGACATTAAAAAAAGCAAGGTTGCCATGGTAACGAAAATCGTTCTCCGATGAATTTTGACATTTGCAAATGAAAGTTTTCCGTAATGTAAACAGTTAAATACAGTTTTTATAATTTTAAGCGGATGGCGCCGCACTGGAAGAGCTATTATAAATTATTTTATTAAAATTACAGAAATAAACCTCGCCGTTTATTCGAGTCACCGACTTGTGGCAACGGTTTCGTGGAGGTCGGCGAGCAGTGCGACTGCGGCATCGGCCAGGAGCGGTCGCGTGCCGCCTGCCTCGCCTGCTGCGACCCCGCCACCTGCATGCTGCGCGGCAACGCCAGCTGCGCCGCCGGGGAGTGCTGCGATCTCAAGGTCCGTCTACTATACTACCAACATAAACATTATTCAACTAAAGTCAGATGGGGTATGTACACTATTCAACTATAGTCAGATGGACCAAGTGCACTATTCAACTATAGTCAGATGGACCAAGTGCACTATTCAAGTATAGTCAGATTGAGCAAGTGCACTGTTCAACTATAGTCAGATGGACCAAGTGCACTATTCAAGTATAGTCAGATTGAGCAAGTGCACTATTCAAGTATAGTCAGATTGAGCAAGTGCACTATTCAACTATAGTCAGATGGAGCATATGCACTATTTAACTATGTCAGATGGACCAAGTGCACTATTGAACTAAAGTCAGATGGAACATGGGCATTAATAAATTATTTTCAGATGGAACATGTGCACACACCACAACTATATTTAGTCGGTGCGTGCTTGTACCCCAAAGTACTATATGATATAGTTTTGTCAAAGTATAATAAATAAAGGCAATATTACGTTTCAGACGTGTCGTCCTATGTCAGCGGGCACAGTGTGCCGGTCAGCGGACCGCGAGTGCGACCTGCCTGAGTACTGCAGCGGCCACTCTGAGTACTGCCCCAGGGATGTGCACCGCATGGACACCACGCCCTGCGGCAACGGACAGGTAACACGTACTGATGTTGATGACATAAATAGTGACAACTAGCTGTTACACGCGACTTTGCCCGCGTGAAATTAAAAAATAGCCTGTGTTAATAAAATATTTAGTTACTCACAGATAAATGACCTTTCTAATGGTGAAATAATTTTTGAAATCGGCCCAATAGTTTTTACGTGAATCGAATATATACAAAAATAAAAATCTTTCCCCTTTATAAACTAGCTGTTGCTCGCGACTTCGTCCATGTGAAATTAAAAAATATAGCCTTTGTTAGTCACATGTAAAATCGGCCCAGTGGATTTTGAGTTATTTCAATTTTTTTAATTGTCGTTGTTAACAATGTTTTTAACAAATTTGTATGTGTATATCATATTTCTGTGTGTGCAGGCGTACTGCGTGCGCGGCGCGTGCCGCTCGCACTCGGACCAGTGCCGGCTGCTGTGGGGCTCCACGGGGGAGAGCTCCGACACGCGCTGCTACACCTCCACCAACGTCAAGGGCACCAAGTGAGTCTACACCACACAATTACGTTAAAAAATCAAAAGTGGGCAGGCTATGTATTCTTCCTAATTTTTATAACATAAGCGATCGCTGTCCATAGACATTCGTAATAGCAGATGCGTTGCCTACCCTTAAGCGACAGAGAAAACGCATATAACAGGATTTCCCCTTCCTATGGGTTTCCGCCATCACATTCACGTTCCCTTCTCATTCTTTCTTTATAAAAAAAGGATGGGAAGGAAAAGGGAGAAGATTATCCTCTACATTTATACTAACAACTCTAACAAACAACCATCGATCTAAACCAGTGATTCTCAACCATTGTCCCGCGGCTCTTTTGTGTGTTGCTAAATTGCATTGTCAAATTGCATATTTTTGTCATAAACTATTCATGCAGTGTGCTGCAGTATTTAAATAATTTTGATCTTTTTCTTTGTGTGCCGCCAAATTTTAAAATCGTTAAATATGTGCCGCAAAAAAAAAGGTTGAGAATCACTGGTCTAAACATTCGCATTTCTCCCATCTTCATCCGTCCCTTTTAAGTAAATAAATAAATAGGACTTTTATTGCCACAAAAACAAGCTACAAATGAAATCTTACATGCATCAACCTTAAAGCTAGTAAAAAAATAAAATGTGGCTAAAGGCGGCAAGCTCAGCTAATGTAGATAATGGCATACGTTTCTGCGCTGCCCTCTTTACACACAGGATTTACACACAAGTTGGGTGACTTAACCTTGATAGATATTAAAAAAGTGAATAAATAGTAAAAAACATAAAATGTATATATAACGAGGTGCTGCCCGCGACTTCGTCCGCGTGGTATTCGAAAACATACAAATAATATAAATTACAAAAAGCTTCGTATCCCTCGGGAACCGGACATTTTTTTGGGATGAAGCTTATCCCATGTGTACTGCAGACTTTGTTTTATATCTGTGCTAAATTTCAATAAGACATGTTGAACCGTTGCGGAATGATCGAGTAAACATTAAAAAACTAAATTAATGAATCCCACGGAACCGTAACTATTCCTGGGATAAAAAGTAGCCTATGTGTTCTTCCAGACTATGATCTAAACCTGTGCCAAATTTCATAGAGATCCGTTCAGCCGTTTAGGCTACAAACGCTAACAAACATCCATCCATCCATCCATCCATCCATCCATCCATCCATCCATCCATCCATCCATCCATCCATCCATCTAAACTTTCGCATTTATAATATTATTAAGTAAGATGATTATACATTAAGGTTACAGTTTTAAGCTTTAAAAAACTTTTAAGTTAATTACGCCGGTTACAGTTGTTAATGTCCTTATAATATATCGTTGTGTAGGAACGGCAACTGCGGCTACGACCGCATCCGGCAGATCTTCCGGCCGTGCCCGAGGGAGGACGCGCGCTGCGGCCTGCTGCAGTGCAGGCACCTCAACGAGCGCCTGGAGTTCGGCATGGAGTCGGTGGCGCAGCTCTCCGCCTTGTTCATCAACAATAATGGTACATTTACAACAATATGGTAGAGCCCGCTTTCATATATTCGCACTACAGCGCCGGCTCGCCCCCAGCAATACCACGACCACACAGAAAACAGGCGTCAAGTGGAAGCAATTACGTAGTCTGATGAATGTGGTGCCGGAGGCCTAATATTAGTCCCTTTCCCTTTCCACCCTTTTCATAATTGGAAAGAATGTGAAGGAAAAGTGGACTTGATGGTGGAGGAGACACATAGGAAGGGGAAATATCCTCTATGTGCGTCTCCTCCGTCAATGAAGGGTAGGCAACGCTGCAAATGCGAATGTTTATGGACAGCGGTCGCTTCGCCTTTTCGGCGCATTCAGGTGGTCGCCTGCTCGTTTGGCACCTTATATTATAAAAAACATACACACGTACACGCACACGTGTGGTCTTCCTCGAAGATGACCTATTTGTCTTAATAGTCTAGATAGAGACGATCTAATTATTGAAATATAATAAAACTCTAATCTTTGTTAGCCACTGAACAAAAAATAATACTATCTCAATTTTTTCAATGAGAGTGAAAGAGAAAATGATATATTTTCGCATTAATGTTATTTCGACAGTGCAAGCCCACGATTATATAAACAATTACTCACAGATAAATTACCTTTTTAATGGTGAAAGAATTTTTGAAATCGGCCCAGTATTTTTACGTGAATCGAATACATACAAAAATCCAAATCTTAGAGAAATCGTCTCTTAAGAGTGTGCACACCTTTGACTGAACTATCGCACAACTGTCGTGCGATTGTCGATTGTTTTGCAGCCAATTCAACTGTTTAGTTGCACAACTAAAAATATAGTATGCCCACTTTCCATATAACCTCGTAGGAATCAATGAAAGACTAAACAGTTGTGCGATAGTTTAGTAAAAGGTGTGCGCACGCTTTTAAACGAACGCGTAACGTATATTAGCGCATGAAATTATAAAAGTTTTATTGTATTGCTTATATTTGTGATTTTTTTTATTGCAAATATCAGAATTCAAATGCCAATAGACCTTTGACTTTGGATAACAATTACCGTTACTATGGTTAACTTGCTTCTTGGCTGCTATTGGCTTGTAGTATTTGACCCTTTCCTAAGTTTAAGGGATTAAAAATTAGGGATTTTATTCAAACAGATATAATTCAAAAATACGCTGCAACCTACAATAACTAACAAGTGTGTTTACGCTTTATTATATACTAGCTTTCGCCCGCGACTCCGTCCGCGTGGAATAAAAAAGTGAGTAGCCAATGTGTTCTTCCACACTATCCACTACGTCTAAACCAAATTTCATTGGAATCCGTTCAGCCGTTTAGGCTACAAACTCTGACAAACATACATCCATCTAAACTTCCGCATCTTACTTCTTACTAATATTATAAATGTGAAAGTTTAGATGGATGGATGTTTGTTAGAGTTTGTAGCCTAAACTGCTGAACGGATTTCGAAGAAATTTGGCATAGGCGTAGAGGATAACCTGGAAGAACGCATACCACTCATTTTTGTTTTTTTAATCTCGCGCGAACGGAGTCGCGGGCAAAATCTAGTTTATAATATTAGTAAGAAGTATAGATTTCTTATATTTGTGTTGTAGGCACTATAATCCCGTGCCGCACCGCTATAATAGACCTCGGTCTGAGCGACGTGGACCCCGGCATGGTGCCTGACGGAGCCAAATGTGGAGAGGATATGGTAAATATCATAAACTAACTGTTGCTTGCGACTTCCCACGCATGAAATAAAAAAAAATATTAATAAATGTATCTTTATAAATTGCGTTATATTCACTTTTGTTCCATGTCTCGTTATAATATGTTGAAACGATAAGCTTTTGTATTTTAGCCTTTTTGTATTTGACTAGCTGTTGCTCGCTATTTCGCCTGTTAAATTAAAAAATAAAATCTATGTTACTTACAGATAAATTACCTTTCTAACAGTGAAAGAATTTTTGAAATTGGCCCAGTAGTTTTTGAGTTATTTCAATACATACAAAAACCAAAAATAAAAATCCCTTTCTAATATTAGTATAGATTGAAATAAATAAAAATCATTCTATTGTCGTAATGTTTATTTCCAGATGTGTTTGAATCAGAAATGTGTAAATATAGAAGTGGTGCGAGCGGCGATAGCTAAGAAAGAGACAGCTGTCTGTCCCACCAATTGTTCTGGACATGGAGTTTGTAATTCTGAAGGTATACACTTTTACTATTATATTTATCAACTAGCTGTTGCTCGCGACTTCGCCTGCGTTAAATTATTTTTTTTTAAATCGGCCCAGTAGTTTTTGAGTTATATCAATACTTACAAAAATTCATATCTTTCCTCTTTATAATATAAGTATAGATAAGATGTCGCAATTAATTAGCGTGGATTTAAAAAAAAATAGTCGTCTAAACATACCCGCGTTTTGCTGTTCCTGCGTTTGTTCCGGGTAATTTCCGTAACGTCTTAACAGATTTTGACTGACTGGAATGTAGCTGATGTACGCGAGACTTATAGACTTTTTTTTTTTTAATTTCAGCGCTAACTTTGCTGGCGACGATAATTTTAGGTCGAATGTAATGTGATTTTGTACCAGGTCACTGTCACTGCGAGGCGGGGTTCGCGCCGCCGCTGTGCGCGCTGCCCGGCCCCGGCGGCTCCTACGACTCCGGGCCTGCCACTGATTCTACCAGTATGTGCTTTCACTATTATACCTCGCATATTAAAAAAAATAAGACACCATTTATTTAAAAAAAATCAGTTCCGTAAAAGTTTTCAGTCATACAGACGAATTGAGTACCTTCCTTCTTTTGGGAAGTCGGTCAAAAACCATGGCAACCTTGTTTCCTTGATGTTGACAGCTTTTTTAAGATGTCTTTCCCACGTGTTTTTTTCTAATTTTTATTACTATATCTAAATTTAATAACGTTAAAATCTAAATAGTGTGTGTACGGGTTTTTATGATACGATATACGCTATATTGGTTATTGGAAAATATCACGCGAGAGAGGGACAAAAACTGCAAGCAATGGTAGCAAAGAAGCATAATTCCTATCGTAACTGTAACTATTATTCAATGACAAAAACCTTCATCGTTCTTTACGTATTGTAATTAAGACATTTAAAATAAATTGCTTTCGTCCTCGACTCCACCCAAACGGTTTTTTAAAAATTAGTAAGTAGCCAATGTGTTTTTCCCAACTATGTTGTACGCCTAAGCCAAATTTCATCGAGATCCCTTTAGCAATTTAGGCTACTCTAACTTTAAAATACTAGCTCGTAAACTAGACTGGTATTCGTACACTTGAAATTAAAAAATAAACAATAATTTTATATTATTAATAACGTATTTTTTGATATTGGAACATTTTTTAAAATGGGTCCATTCATTTTTAAGTTATATCAATACATACGTAAATACAAATCTTGTTTATAATATTAATATATTAAGAATTATAAAGGGATGTGTAGAAATTTGGCTTAGATGTACAACATAGTTGGGAAGAACACATTGGCTACTTACTGATTTTTAAAAAATACTAATGCTTAGATAATCAGTAATTTCTTTTTCCACAGTCCAAAGGAACTTCATGTTGGCGATGTACGTCATATTCCTCGGGCTGATGCCTTCGGTGTTCCTGATGATGTTACTGTACTACTACCTGCGGCACAGATGGGACAACCCGCACAAAACGTACGTAACCAACATATTCAAGAGAAACACGAAAGACACGAAAACATACAAACAAAACAGATTCCACAGATTCCATACAAGCACAAGTTCCGTACTAAAACTTCTGAGTTTCAAACGCGAGGAAAAAACAAAAAATATACCAGAAAATAATAGCAACACTGAAGAACATATTTACGAAACATTAGATAATAACGAAGTAAATTTTGCAAAAACTAAACATTGCTTTTATAAAGTTTTCAATTTTAATAAAAATACAAATGCATCGACAAATCAATTAATTAAAGGTATTAATAAAATTGAAGTTAAAGATAAAGTAAATCCTCAAACTTCTAATATAGATAAAAAAATAGTTATAATTAACACTGGACTCACTTCGACTACTAATGAAAAGATAGGCAAAGAGCATATAAAAACAACAATACCAATTAAAAATAAAACTAAATCAAATGCTTTGGATATAAATAGAAGTGATACTAAGAAAGTTCAAACAAATATCGGTAACGGTACAAAAACTGTTAACCCTGTTAAAGATTTAAAATCAGTGATCGTTAACACTGGATTAGCTTCAACTACGAACGAAATGATTAAAAATAAAATAAAAGGTACAAATCGCATGTATGAAATAAAAAATAACGGCTTATATGATGAAGTTTTAGGACAGAAAGTGCAAGAATTTAAAAAGATATAACTTTTTTTATATTATTATAATCAATAACGGTTTAATATACAGACATTTTATGATAAAAAAAAGTTTAAGGGACCGTCATACCCGGCTGAAAGAGGCTAACTTAAAAGTGACGTCACTATCAGAGTACCAAAATCCGATATATTTTTAATATTTACAAGATTTTGGTAGGATTGACTCTTAACCTTTTATATTTCGATGTAATAATAATTAGTAGTTTTTATTAATTAGTACAAGGTCCGGTTTACATTATCCCAATCCAGTTATCGAAATAAAGACTGGAATAAGTCTGAGTTCCTGGTTGGATTTTTATATGCCCGTCTATGTCAGCTACCCTCCAGTGAAAGTCTTGTAATAGGCCCAGCCGTTTCGGAGGTTACCCAGAACAGACTCGGCTTGCGGACAGACAGATAAAGAGAAAATATTAAATGCGGTTTTGGTTATCAGCAACGCAAATACATCATCTTCCCCAAATCTGGAATTTTTAGTCCGATATTTTTTTTTTTTATAACAATGATGGCAAACGAGCAAGTGGCCACCTGAAATCGCCAAAATGGCGAAGCGACCGCTGCCCATAGACATCTNCAATTGTAGATGCGTTGCCTACCCTTAATTGACGGAGGAGGAGACGCACATAAAGAGGACATTTCCCCTTCCTATGCGTCTCCTCCACTGTCAAATCCACTTTTCCTCCCCATCCTTTCCTCTTAAGAAAAGGGTGGAAAGGGAAAGGGACTAAAATTAGGTCTCCGGCACCACACTCATCAGACGAAACGCGGAATTGCTTCTACTTCACGCCTGTTTTCTGTGTGGTCGTGGTATTACACCGGGCGAGCCGACCCATTCGTGCGTAGATGTTAAAGCGGGCTCTACCACTGTTACAGACACTCCAATTTTATTATATGTATAGATAGATTATCCTCGGACTTCGATCACTGGATTGGAATAATTTAAACCGTGCAGTAGATAGCATTTTTATATTTCCTTAAATAGAATACTAGTCAAAATTTATCACAAAATAACACTGAATTCTTTACTCACATTCACTTAATTACTTACATAAATAGTATATAAATAACAAGCACCGTTTGTGGGTTTGCGCAAATATCTTCGCTTCTTTGTCATTTGCTACTTTTCGATGATAATATTTTCAATTCATCTATGAGATTTAATTTATTTTGACTTTCTTAAAACATTGTTAATCAACTAAATATATAGTGTGTCTTAATAAGATAGATTAGTTTGATAAACAAATGCCATACTTAATAGACAGGTATCGTAGTGACGAAACAAACACGCAGCGAACAATTATGAACTATCGATATTCGGTTTAAATAATTATCAAACTCAACTAAAATTAATATTTTGTTATTAACTAATTTATAGGATAATTATAGTGTTGAGAATTTAGCGATGACAGAAATAATAATGAAATCCAATTCGATTACGTACGGCTGTAGTAGTAATAAACATTTATTTACTCTCATTATTTGTAATGGTCATTATTAATTTAATAAAATACTGTTTTTTTTTAAATTCATAAGTCGTAACTATAAATCTATCGATTCCAACTTCTATAAGAATAAAAATCGAAAATCGATAAGATTCATGACTAATTTTACACAACCAATCCCTACTAAATTTGAAATGAATTGTCAAACTAATCTAAATTAGACACACAATAATAATGTCCATCATTCTTATAAGTTTTTTTTATTTATTTTCGTCGAATAATCTTTTTAATATGTACACGTCCTTTATATTTTAAGCCTAGAATTTAAGCGAAAATATATTTCATGATTAACTCTTCTATTCTTTATCACTTTCACCGGTTTTTGGTCACTTTTGTGTTTGTTTCCATAGTCTTGACATTTAATACTATAGTGCGACAAATTTATCTGGCTCGGTAAAGGATACAATTTTATCGGTTTTATTTTAAATCGGTTTTATTAAAACTTATTTAGTTGTAATCAAATATGAAATAAAATTAGACAAGACATCTCAGTCCAGCTCTTTTGAACAGCTTTGTGGTAAATTCCATCGACGAGAGGGTGGCCGAGGAGATATAGCTAACCCCTAAAGATCGAACATTTTAAAAAATGTATTAAGCAGCACTTCAAATAAGATCATATTTGTAGTATCTGCCTACCCCCTAGACCTAGTCATCGTCATTTCGCCCTTGTTAATCTTATCACCGGGTCAGATAAGTTAGTCAGTCTATACTTTAATGTAACTTGTATTGTTTTCTGTTTAAACTGCACTGGTCTTCTATCATTTTCTTTGTACTGCACCTTTATTTTGTGTAAAAGGTTTTTCTCAAAATGTTGGTTTGATTTTTTAAGATTTACTTTTGATTTTTTAAATTTTTGCTGTGGTGTTTTTTAAAGAAATGTTTTGAGATGAACTTATTTTATACTTAAGCTTGTAGTTAACTGCTAATTGTATTTAGTATTTGTATGATTTGTTTTGAATAAATTTTATTGGATATATAATTTCTTTTTTAATATAGAAATGTTGCTAGTTTTTAAAATTGTTATGAAGTAAAACTGGCAACATTTTAAGGGTATTCTAGAAGGTGCTTGTCTTGATTTTTCGGTGAGTGGCTTTTAATGGGATTTCTGGCTTATTGTTGCATGTGTTTGCATGTTTATTTACTTGGAATTATCAAACATGGCATTATTTTTTATTGTTTCAACCATTTTTTTAAATATTTAACTGATTATCATCTTTTAGTGAATAAACCGTCTGTTTTAAACTCTGTCATGTCTGTATCAAACGGTCTGACTTTGTTAACCTATATGTAATTTGTGAAATACTAGACCTCGTAGAAGTAATAAAAAAAGTAGAAAGTAGCCTATGTGTACTTTCAGAGTGTGTTCTGTCTGTGCCAAATTTCATAGAAATCCGCTTTAAAGTAACGTAGTAATAAATATCCATCCAAATTTCTCGTTTATAATATTAGTATGATTTATACCTTATATCGCATGAATTACTAACTTTGTGTATATTTTTAAAATATATAGTTTAATATGTGATGTGAATTTACAGAGTGCAATCGCCAAAGACCAGTTTGCAACGACGTTTGTCGCGTGGTGCGAGTAAATTTGCCGCGAACTTTCAAAATGGCGGCCAGAACAACTCTCAGCCTGTCAACGTCCATACCCTGTCCAGCCCTGACGACATGAGCTCCAGTCTACTGCGTGCAGACCCAGAGCTCAGCCCCAACGGAAACCTTAACCCTACAGTCAACTTCTTTGGCAACTTCAAAGGCTTCTCCCTCACGCCCATAGACAAAAACCAACCGCAAACCGACAAGAACGAACCACCACCCGTCAAGGAAAAAACCAAAACAGAGACCGTCCCAAAGAGCGCCAAAATCACACCTGTTCACAGAAGCGGTAGCAACAGTCAGAATCTCATCAACCAGAGCGTGCTCAAGCC